CTGTTCAAACTTTTGCCTTACTCTCTGAGTGGTTTACTGTATCTTTGGGTCAGACCTTTTAAAACACATCATGACAGAACTTTACTATTCAACCAGTTCATTTAGCTCGTAGTCTTTTATTCATTTGCTTCTAATAAAGATCCTTTGTGCCAAAACATATTTCTGCTCTTTTCATAATTATCTTGTTTTTTCTCTTTTGTGTTTCCCCTGTTCTTTATGATATGCCATAAATAAGGGGCAGGATTGCATGTTCTGTAGTGTCTTGGAAGTTTGTGAGAAACTGAAGAGTCCCAAGCAAGTAAACCCTCATCCTTTTACCCCAATGATTATGTTATATTAAGTATATTAACATGGACATCGGTTCTCTATGTCGAAAACGAATATCATGGCTTTTGGCACATAAATAGACTATAGGTGAGGCGGAAGACATAAAATAAACATGATGACTCTAAACGTTCCACTTTTGAGTGCACACACAACAAAAAATTGTTTTAGGACCAGAGTCTCTGAAAAAGAAGCTGATTAGTCAGTCGCTGCATCTGGATGGGACTAAAAATGATCTCATCTAATAAGGTTAAAGCTTGGTATGGATAGTCTTGTCCAACTTCAATTGGAAGTAAGATATTGATGATGCGGGGCTGTGCACACAGCTTTAGTATGCTACCCTTGCTGTGGTTTGATGCTGGCAGGTGGGTGAGGAGGATAAGCCATCTCATCATATATATAATCAAAGGTGGATTTTGTTAGATAACAGTCAGTTTGACATTCTAATGGCCATGTTGACTAAGGTTGCCCAAATAGTAAATGCCTTGCAGTGGTTCTAAATAATGGGGCCCCCACCTGATCAACAGTTCCTGTACAACCAATGATAGATGCACCACACTGAAAATCCAGGGTAACTTCCATGATCACTGGAGGTAGAAGTTCCCCCAATCTTCAAAGTGTTGAGTAAATTTGACGCTAGTTTTTGTAAGGCAAATAGGCCATGATATCTCTAGATTTTTGGTCCTACCATAATAGGGTTATGTTGATGAGTCATTAATACGTGTGATGGATGAGGAAATATGCTTCTGCTACTGGAAAAAAAAGCGTGATTTTCAGTGAGAAATAGCCAGGTAATAATCTTAAGAAGCATCCAGACATTAGGACCCTCCTAGATTCATGCATTTAAGAATGGGCCATCACTTGGTATATTGTTTTTCAATTTTCTATTTCAGTAAAAACATTGGGAGACAGGGGCCCCTGTATTAGTTATTTTTTGTTTTTCTTTATCCATCACCAGGTTTGCATGAAAGAAGACAAGGCTTTGAACTTCGTTTTCTAACCTAACCTTTACTAGTCTTTGCCTGAGGTTCCTCCACTTCAGTGTGAGAGACTCCTACTGAGTAGATTCCCTTATGTGGAACAAATACTATCTGAGCAGAGATTCTGACTCTTCTAGTGTTGCTTGGATCACAGGATAAGTGAGATGTCACCAACATCTCACAAATCTTCTCCTTTTCTCTTAGTGCTGCTTTCCCAGTTTTCTAAAGTCATGGTGAAGTTGAACAGGACCATGTTGATTTGATTCTGCAGGGGTAAACCCAGCATTATAAGCCTAAACAGTGTGGGGCTGGAAGACAGAAAATAAAGCTGAACTGTGTTTATTTGTGAAGCACATAAATTTGATATAATTTTCAAAGTTTGTTAAGATGCTTTTATGTTAAATTGTTGGCACTTTGGGAAGTTGCAGGGGCTGCAGTTGGAAATTATCTTAATGCTGCTGTGACTGGAATGTTATTGTTCCAAAAATGACAGTCCGTCAAGATTTGGAATTAACATCTTTAATTTTAACAACACAATCGAACTTATGAGAAACATGTTTACTAGCAGAAGAGTTTTGCTGCTGCTGTTTATGAGTGTGTGTGATAGGGTTAATGATAATAACCCCTTATTGTCATAGAAAGAAACCAACACATGGCACAAGTTACTTGAAACAGATGGAGAATCCCTGAATGTTTGTGGTCACCTCTTTCAGGATATCTCTTTCCTCTGTTTTTATTGTTTGACTTCAAAGAAGAAACAGGAGGGGTCAGAATTTTACACATGATAAAGCATGACACTTCCTTGTGTAGTTTTATTGCGGGTGACGATAAGCCACCTGCAACCCCACAGCTGGATAAAGCATGACTTTTCCTTTTCTGGGAGATCCATTTGTTCTGCCTGTTTGAAGTTAGAAACAACAGAACATTCCTAGTAAGCCAAATGCCTGTAACCTAATACAAATACAAATGAAATTTAAATTTTTCTTACATTTAGCTAAAAATCGCTATATGTGGCAAAACAAAAATGCACTTGATATTAATATGCCCCAGGAAGCTGGTAATATCAGAACATCTGACAACTAAAAATCACCAGAAGAATCTTAATAATTACAGAAAAACACTAAGGTTGACAATCCTGACACAGGCAACTAAATACAGTAGAAAATTAATATATACTTTTCTACAATAATTTTTCTTTGGGCAGCTGTACTTCCACAGTCTTCCCTCTCATACCCACGGGGCTAATGTCAACTTAGATTAAAGTACTCCCAAATGTCTTTGTCTACTTGTAAGACTAGACTTAAAATTGTCCTTTTTGATAAAGCTTAGAGTGATTTAGGTTATCATAAGTTATCTCTGTAGTTATGCTGCTATAGGCTTACACTGTTGGAGAACATATAGACCCTTTTAGATCACTCCGTTTGATTCTATCCCTATTCTCCCATTAGGAAGTATTTGTTAGTTCAACCACTAACTTTATGCTCTCTCTGCTTTTTCACATCATAGTAACTTGATCTGGTCTCTTCCTGTTTGGATGTGACATCATGGTAGAGAGAAATATCAGCAGGGCTGCTGCCATCATCACCTTATATGATGAAAAAATTAAGTTGTGCCTCTTTATCAGTGCTTAGTCCTGTTTTTCTCTCCAACTGGATATGCTCTCGTCTATCCCTTTTAGACATGAAATATGCTTAACTGTTTCTTTCCAAGACAGAACCAAATGTGGAGCCTTTTGTTACCTTTTTCAACATATAGAGTATTTATAGATCCGTGCTTCTATGTTCTTTTTGTATGACTGCTTTTGTCTCCTTGAACCTCAGTCAGCCTCAGCAGAAGGCATACACTGAGCCTGGTTCTGCTGGTTGCTGCATCCATCATCGGTCTGTAGACAATGGAAGTAAATATCTATTGTTGCCACATGCACACCTATAAGGTCGTACCCCGCAAAGTCAGTGACTCGGTGCAGTCATCCGGGTTTCCTTCTATAGAAAACTTTGAACCAATCTGACTGTATGCTCTGGTTGAATTGTCTCTGTAAATGTGTCTCTGCCTTGAGATGATATGTGTTGTAAATTGGCACAATATAAGTTCACAAAATTA